ATGTTAAGCTCTTAGCTGTTCCTGTCTCATCATAGAAAAGGTATTGGGAGTGAGGCTACATTGCAACTATTACTCTGGCCCTCCTGCTAAGATTAGTCTTCAGAATTCTGGATTTCTTTGTGACCTTGGAACAGGTAAGTTTCCTATCTGAGGCATTTGAAATATTTTCTTTCCTCTTGATTCATTTACATAATACTATCATTATATTTTACTAGCTTCTTCATTTATTTATTAGTTATATTTAGTTATATTTCCTTTTTGGCATGTTTTTATTTTCCTTACCGAAAATGTCTAGATAAGGTTCAAGAAAGTCTGTGTCATGAAGCTAAGTGCTTCATTTAATTTTTTTGCCCACCAACAACCTTAGGCCTTTCTCTCTATTCCATCATGTTCTGCCCTTGCCTGGACCCAGCTGCTGCTTTGTGTTTAGTGTTTTTTTCCAATAACTGATTCTGGAAGTGCAGTGGCACAGTTGTGATCCTATTTTCAGACACAACAAAAAAAATGCCCATGAGTCCAATAAGGAGACATAGACAGCTCTGCAAAGCTAGGAGCAAATTCTGCTTCAATGCAGTGATCCAACTGACTAGGTCAAGTCAATGTCCAGGGAGGAACCCTGGGCCGGGAAGAGTTTTTCTAGAGTCTGTCATTTGGGCTCTACTCAAGCAGCTATTGTTTTGGTTTTTTTCTCCCTCTTGGCTCAGTGGGCAGAAAATGGAGCAACTTTGCCTTGGTGAAGAAGAGTTTCTGTTTTATTAACTGTCCAGTCAGGCACACTGGCCAGAGAATAGAATGCCCTGTCATGCTCTCAAGTCACTCAAGTCAGAAGCTCCCAGTGTGTTACTAAGGGACGTAGCTTGATTTGCTTCATGAATTCTACTGACTCTGGCTGCATGGGCAGGTCCTGGGAGACCTTCAGTCCTCAAAATGGCAATTATGCAGGGCCACTTGGCCCACAATAGGAGTGAGGCTTGTGATGGGTGCATGATTTCTAGTTGGAAGGGTACAGAAGCAGCTCCGGCAGAACCTGGGCCTCCCTGTACCTCTGTTCCTACATACCCACTGTTACAGGTGCACATTTGGTCCTTTCTAACACTGGGCGGGGGAGTGCTGAGACATCTGCCAGGACCTAAGCACCAGTCCTGTTTCCGTGCTGTTGGTTCTCTGCTTTTCTAATGTTACAATCTTGTTCTTTTCTGATACGTATATTCATTGTTATTGCTTTCTCTCAAAGCACCCATTTTTGGGTCGCTCAAATGATAATGTGTTGTACATTCATTTTCATGCATTTGAAATCTTTAGCATTTAATCAGACTTTTTATTTGAAGCATGTGTCTTTTAAAATTTTGTGATTTAATCTCTAATTCTTAGGAGTATTTTAAATCTGTTTCTGCTGTTGGTTTTCAATTTCATTTCAATCAGTGTGAGAGCCTGCTTTGTATGAGTTTCAGTTCTTTGAGGACGTTGTCCTTTTTCTGCTTTTAGACTTTTATTCATACATGTTTGTAGCACATAAGGATTACATTCATTGTAGGGAGTTGGTACATGTCCACAGCACATTTCAATTCTTTTTTTCTCCTCTAGAACTTAACTTCTTTATTGTTACTCTGAACATAGTCTATTTGGGTGAATAATTCTTGTGTTTTTGAGAAGACTGTATACTGTGTAGTTATTAGATAAAGTGTCATACAATATCAAATCAATTCCTGTGAAGCATGATATTGTTAATTTTAACTATTCCCTTATAGATTTTTGTGCCTTGTTCAGCTATCAATTACTGATGGATGTATTTTGAAATCTTTAGACATACTTGTGAATCAATGATATTTCTCTTGACCTTCATGTCTGCTTGGTGTAATATTTATTGAAGAGTATTCTTTTTAGAGAACTGCCTTTTATATCATTATCTGCTCACTATAATCATTATTTTGGGGATACAAATTGAGTGAAATTAATATAGCTTCTGCAGATTTTGTTGAGTCAATATTAGACTACTGTGCCTTTTTGCATAGCTTTCTATTTAATCTGTTTTCATCAATGTCAACATAACCATTTCTGTCCAGGTTGGCATAGCATTGGCACCACAATCCAGATGTGTAGCTGTTGATCAAATCTGACGTCTGTTGCCTGTTCTCCTGATGGGCAATATAGAATTTGACCACTGCTTGCTGGGGATCTGTGGGTCCCCTGTTTGCAACTGGGCTGCTTTGGCTTTTGCTGCCCAGTGGGTGAATGAAGTCTTATCTTTTCATGTGTAAATGCAGACATACAAATATAAATTAATGTGTACTTTCATAATGGTAATTTAGTGTTTAAATATTTTGAAATAAATTTTATTTTCAAAATTGTTGATGAAATTTAACAGTAACAACAATGTAAATATCCTGGGAATATTCAGAAAATTTCATCACTGGGCCTTGGACAGTGGAAAGTATCCAGGTGATACTCTCCTACCTGACTCCAACTCCTGTTGCCCCATGGATGACCACTCTTCCACTTTGGTGACTTTTTCTAGGTTTACCATGTGTGATTTTCTATGAATAGTGCTGTTTTCATTTCCTCCCTTGGAATTTTCAATAAGTGATTATTATAGAAATTGCAAAGAGAAAAATTTTCAGAGGTTTTTTTGGTCTCACTGTTGTTCACAAATGCTGATATGTGAATGAAGGACAAAGTGCCTTCTCATGGGTTCCATTGGCCATGTGGTTCAGGATTTTTCACTTTTACCTGAAAAGAATCACATTTATCTCCAGGAATAATAGCACAGTATATTCTCTGGACATTGAAAAGATGTCACTAGTCTGTGTGCTTTAATAAGCTCCAAAGTAAAGGAAAAGAATGTAGAGTGTATCATTTGATTCTTCGTTCTTGCTTAAGTCTGTTTCCTTATTGTGTTTTACACTTTATTTTCTTTAGTGATTTTCTCAAAAAAGATTTGGTTCTTGTTTTCTATTCAGTATTCGCTCTTGAGTGAGATATGTTGTTGTCATTTTTTTAGATTTGTTGTTCTCTATACACAATCCTTATACTGTGTACAGAGCAAATATTTTGTTCTGGTCTTGTTTATATCCCATGATTGTCTTCTGAAGAAACACTTTTTTTCTACATCTAAAAGTTATTTCACTATGAATTTTCAAGGCACTCAGGTTTATCTTTCTCATTTTGATATAGAACTTAATTATTGTACATAGAAGAGTATACAATCCAGGTTTCCAACTATGTGCCTGTTTCTCCTTGAACATAACTGAAACATATTATGATTTCTTACAGAGACACATAATACCAGCTCTATCATGAGCCAATGTTCTGTGTATATGTGGACCCACTGAGGACTGTCTTCTCCTGAGATCCATTTGCCATTCTCTTTACAAATGGTACAGGCACATGAAAGGTGGAATGTGAATGTCTTTCATATAAGCTATCGACCTTCTGGTTTAGAAGGTATTGAATGTTGTTAGACTTTTAGTACAGTTATAATTTTTTTAAAAATCAAAATTGTCATTTGTAAGTGACACAATTTGTTTGAAGTTTTGGGTGGAGTTTGAGGCAGGATGTCACTTTTTCAGCCTGATCTTGAACTTACTATGTAGTCAAGGCTGGCCTCAAACTCATGGCAATTCTCCTCCATCATACTCCCAAGTGCTGGACTTACAGGCATGTACCACCACACCTGGCAGAAATTTTTCTTTTGTGCCTAATTACTTTGTGACCTATTGGTTTTCAATGCATGTAATACATCTTATTCATCTTCTTCCCTTCATTACTCTTCTGTATAACCCTAGAATTTTTTTATATCTGATTGCAAAGTGACCACTTGGTAACCCTGAGCTATAAGATAATTTACCGGCCTTTCCCTGTTTTTATTGTTCATAGACTTGTTCCAATAAAACTTTTTCCATTAGCATTCATAAACCTTATTTGATGTTCAATTATGTTCTTTTCTATGAAACCAAATTCAAGTTTCAAAATGCTGGCTAAGTACAATCAAAGAAAGAAGGCCTCGATACCGTAAATAGTGAGATTTGAAAAGAGATCTATGGTCTATCAAAACCATTCATTAGACATACATCTGCCCGAGTGTTTTGTGGCTGGTGATCTTCTAGGCTCCTCTGTGAGCTCTGCTTTAGAGACAGTGCACATATACCCTTGTAGTGACCAAGCAGAAGAACCAGTGCTCCTATTCTGCTGTTGCTTTAGCGATGAGTGGCAATCTAGCATCAGAATTCCTATGTGAAAGAAATGCGCATACACATGGAATCGATGACCAAGACTTGGAGTTAATATTTGAAGGATTCAGCCTCCACTCAGCAACCAAGGGCTGATCAGACCCTCAGCTACCTTTCAGGGGGAACGACGAATAAAAAGAAAGAGGATAGAGAAAATTTTCGAGATATGGGGGGGACCAGGATGAGACCTGCCTCTATCCAACAGACTCAAATAGAACTCCGCAGTTGGCCTGCTTTTATTAGCCAGTGAGAAGTGGGGGGTGGGGGGTGGTGAGCACATGTTTCATGGAACAGCAACTATAGAGAATGGGTGCAGTGCATAAGGATTAAGTTAATGAGGAACCACATTTTCTCTACTCCCAAATGCCTCAGGAGTGCCGGGTTATCAGCATTCAGCCCAAAGCCAAGGGACGTGTAGCTTTCCACATACTTCCCTGTTCCTGAGGCAAGATAACACCAACCTGGAGACTGTTGTATCTGAGTTCTTTGAGACTATGAGATCTGAGTTATGTAGCCTGGTCCCCAACACTCAGCTTTTTTGTTTTTGTGAGACAGAGTGTCACTATGTAGTTCAGGCTAGCCTGGAACTCACTCTGTAGCCCACACTGGTCTTGAACTCATGGTGATTCTCCTGCTTCAGCTTCCTGAGTACTGGGATTACAGATAGGCACCACCACACCTGGCTTTCAATTCAACTTTTTATGAGAGGAGTTGAGGCTCAACCTTTCCCAGGCTATGAGTCTCAAACTTTCCTTTATATGTATGATCATTTAGGAGGCAGTGATCTTTGAGGATGTGGTTGTGAGGTTCACCATGGAGGAGTGGGATTTGCTGAATCCATCCCAAAAGAAGCTCTACAGAGATGTGATGGGGGAAACCTTTAGGAACATGGCTGCTGTAGGTAAGGATGACATCTCTTTCTCATTTATACAATCAGAGAACATTGTTTCTTGCTCGTCAGTGCAGTTTCATTAAATAGAATGTGAAAACATTTTGAAGAATATTTCTGGCCTGGTTACAGTATACCATGAATCTAACTGGAATCTATTAATTTTTATGTAATAATGTAATGACTTCTTATATTTCTGTCTGCAAATCAGGAAGAGCCTGGGATAACCAGGAACTTGAAGATGAGCACAAAACTTACTGGAGAAATCTAAGGTAATTTGCCCTGACAAGGAAAAGGAATGTTCCTGAAGAGTCAGTGTGTGAGCAGAAGCATGACAATCAAGAGAATGAGACCATCTTCAAATTTATTTATTCTCAGAAATATTCTCCAAAGATTTATATAGCTTCAGTATATATAATCTGACAATTAAATATGGAAATATTCCAGCATAGGAAAATAAGTTAGTGCTGATATTGTGCAACAAGTGATACTATTGGACATAAAAGTATAAAAAATGTTCATTCATAATCAACATCATGAAAATGTATGAAATTTCATTTAAGTGTTGAGTATAGGTGTATATAAAAAGAATAAATTTTGAATTTTGACAAGAACTTATCTTCAGGATATCTGTGTATACATGTGAATATGAGATACTCCGTATCTAAAAATTTCTATCCTTGAAACAGTACTCAAAGTGCAAATTAATGCTAGTGTTGTACTAATAAGTGTTTTTCAGCCATGTTCCAGAGAATTGAGTCCATTCATGTTTTAAAATTCTTAGAAGGCAACCTCCCACATTGTTGGTGGGAATGTTAAGTAAAGCTACTATGAACATCAATACACAGATGTCTTAAAACCAAAAGTTCTATTTGATCCAGGCATGCCTTACCTGTGTGTATTCCCAGAAGAGTCAAAATCATTGTATTATACTAGTAGATGCATACCCATACTCAAAGCAGGCCAATTTATGACAGCCAAGCCCTGGAATCAACCTAGATGTCCATCATTGGATGCATGGATAAGGAAAACTTGATAGGCCTAGTGTGATGGTGCATTCTTCCCAGCACTCTGGGAAGATGATTCAGCAGGATGGCAAGTTGAAGCTCAGTGTGAACAATTTAATCATTGATTTGAATCTCTTTCAAAATAAGAAATAAAAAAAGCTAGAGATGTAATTCAGTGCTAAGTCCTGTGTTTAATTCTCAGCACTTAAAAGAAAAAGACAATGTGCTATATATATATATATATATATATATATATATAATCAGCCCTAAAGATGAACGATATCATGTCATTTGCCAAAAGAAATGGGTGAGTTTTCATCCCATAATGTTAAGTGAAATAAGTCAGGCACAGAATGTTAAATGTCACATGTTTTCTCTTATATGAGAAAGCCAAAAATGTAAATTAGGCAGTAAAATAACCTGATAGAAAATGGAAAGCCTGATTTTTTGGAGATGAGAAAGACAAACAGGGTAAGAAGAGAAAGGGGAAAGTTATGAAAGGCAAGGTATCAAAAATGACTAATATGTGATATACATATGTACCGATTACCCAAAATGAAACTGAAACTTCTGTATTTCAAAAAAATATACCAACTTAAAAGTTCCCAAATGCATACCACTCTTTTTGGAATGGGGTTTTTGAAGGTGTCCTCCAGGGCATTCAGTTAATTTATTGTCAGAATTTCTCAGCAGGCATGAAAACAGAACTTGTTCTGGTAAATCATTAATACGGAGACTCATTTTATTGTAGCTTTTTTACTTCTTTTACAGAAATAAAGCCTGGAATCAATATAAGGAAATATTCCTTTGGACTCCAGATGCTAACATGGACATGAAAAATACTGGTTTAAAGCCAGCTGAGAGCCTTACTCATAGAAAGCCCCTGATTGGGCATTTGTCCCTAGATGTACCCATCATAACTCACACTGCACTGAAGCCATGTGAGTATTTGGGATATGAAGAAAAGCTGTGTAAGCATAATGAGCATGGAAGAACCTGCAGTGATTTCCAGTCCTGTCAGAAGCATGCAAGGACAAAGGCTGGAGAGAAACCCTATGAAGGTGGTCAATGTGGGAAATCCTATCCTGATCTTAGTGAAGGAACTCACCTTAGAGAGAAGGCCTCTCTGTGTAAGAAAACATTGAAAGCCTCCAGCACACCTAATGATGTTCAGATACACGAAAGAAATCACAGTGGGGGGAAATGCTATGTATGTAAGCAATGTGGGAAGGCTTTCACCAGACACAGTGCATGTAAAATACATGAAAGAATTCACATGGGGAAGAAACCTTATGTATGTAAGCAATGTGGGAAAGCTTTTAGTACACAGGGTTATTGTAAAATACATGAAAGAAGACACACTGGGGAGAAACCCTATTTATGTAAGCAATGTGGGAAAGCTTTTAGCACACGTAGATATTGTGAAATACATGAAAGAACTCACACAGGGGAGAAACCCTATGTATGTAAGCAGTGTGGGAAAGCTTTCAGTGCACAGTCTTATTGTAAAATACATGAAAGAATTCACACTGGAGAGAAACCCTATGTATGTAAACAATGTGGGAAAGCTTTCAGCAGGCATAGAACATGTAAGATACATGAAAGAAATCACACTGGGGAGAAACCCTATGCATGTAAGCAATGTGGGAAAGCTTTCAGCACACGCTGTGCTTTTCAAATACACGAAAGAAGTCACACTGGGGAGAAACCTTATGTATGTAAGCAATGTGGGAAAGCTTTTAGCACACACATTCATTGTCAAAGACATGAACAAATTCACACTGGGGAGAAGCCCTATATGTGTAAGCAATGTGGGAAAGCTTTCAGTACGCGTGGTGCTTGTCAAAGACATGAAAGAAGTCACACTGGTGAGAAACCCTATGTATGTAAGCAATGTGGAAAAGCTTTCAGTTCAAAGGGTTATTGTAAAATACATGAAAGAAGTCACACTGGGGAGAAACCCTATGTATGTAAGCAATGTAGGAAAGCTTTTAGCACACGCTTTTATTGTGAAAGGCATGAACGAACTCACACTGGGGAGAAACCATATGTATGTAAGCAATGTGGGAAAGCTTTCAGCACAAAGTATTATTGTAAAGTACATGAAAGAAATCACATTGGGGAGAAATCCTACGTATTGTAGCAAGGTGGGAAACTCAGCATTTCTCATTGGGGAGAAACTATATATATAAACCTATTTTGAAAATTCTGTGAAAATTTTTCATGCAGTGGAGACTGATACAAATAATTAACATAAAATGTTTTCTGTCGATATTTCTTCATAAATTTTCCAGAAATACAATTCCAGATGGAAATATCCTAAAGTACATGGTGTGTTTTTCTGTAAATCACATATAAATATCTGGATTATGTATCTATAGTGTTTAATATAAAAAATATTGTATTGACATAGTTATTTTTGTGTAAGTGTCCTTGAGCTTAATACATAGTGTCTTTTAATTAAACATGGTGAATTGAAATGTGCTTTTTACTTTTAAGTATGGTATATGTTGATGTAGTTTTTGTTTTGCCTTTAAATTGGTAAGTATGGGCCACTAAAAAACTTAATTTTGTTAATTGTTGAGATTTTTGCCATCACATTTGTTTTAATTTTTTGGTGAATATACTTCATATTCTGTGTAACAAAAGATGTTTTTGAATTTGAGGATATATTTCATATTAAGATATATTTTCAGAGAGTTGTGTATGTGTTTTTGACACAGTTGTTTTCATACAACTTGCAGATTTGCAAATTTTTTTTTTTTTTTTGGTACCGGGGAATGAACCCTGGACCTTGCACTTGTGAGGCAGGCTCTGGAACCACTGAGCTAAATCCCCAGCCCAACAAGTGTTATGATTTTTATATGCTTATAAGATACTTGCTTATCATGTACATAATTTTGGCTAGTTTTCTTTCATTTTGGAGCCAGTATTAGCATTTACATAAAATTTTTATTTCTTACCACTTACTTTTTCTTTTCATGTTTATATTGCAGTGACTTTTAATTTGCTGGGACTTTTTCCACCACATGTAACAAAAATAAACTATACTGCTGTGAGTTTGATTGCCACAGAGCAGCAGGTCATAACTAGTCTCCAAAAGGGTATCATGAATTATAGTAATGTCTCCAAAAAATATACATGATGGTATGACTTATCAGTAACAACACTTTTGAAAGAAGTGTTATAATCTGTGGAGTTGTTTTGGGGAGAATGGTTGCTATTGAATTTAATGAGGCAACTGGATTTATTCTGTTCCCTGCTGCTGTGATGCTATTCTCTGGTAATCATTATTGTTTTTACCTAATAAGCTGAACTAATGGCATGAAGGAAAACCTAACTCATGTGAGGTATCATTCTGTTTATTAAAAACTGAAATTTACAAATTTATAATTCAGATTGTGTTCTGTTTTACTAATTTTTGAGATAAATTTATACAATCCCATTTCTCATTGTTCATAAGAAGCACTATCTGATATGTGATGTATGTGACAATTGCCCTCAAACATACACTGGGCCAAGGTATGTGCATGAGTCCCAGTTGGTCTCCTTTGACCTGTGTTTTTTACAGATGTTTTAATATTGAAATACCTAAGTGAGCAATGCATTAAATACCCATAATACACTGAACAATATAGTTTGCCCTAGCCTTAATTATGTTAGAAACATAAATTACTCACCAGTTGTGTAATATCATCCAAAATTATATCTATTTTATATCTGAAATAGTCAATATAGTTCATAGAATATAGTACATGACCGAGAACAGTGTCAATTTTTACACCCTACAACATGTGACCAACTTCCCTGCAGCCCACTTTTGCTTCTTACCATCACCAGGAAGATCTGTAGTATGTATTGCTATCCCAAGTGGAGATGGAATATTTAAAATATAAGACATTTTAGCCTGAGCACATTTACTTTCCCACTATTTTACCTTGAAAAAAATCTTGCTGGCTCAGATGATGTATGTTTGTAATCCCAGCAACTCAGCAGGCAAAGGTGGGAGGTAAACACAAAGTTGAGGTCAGCCTTAGTGACACCTGTCTCAAAATATATGTAAAAGGTCTGCAGTGGTGGCTCAGTGCTTTAGGACTAAGGTTTAATCCTTAGTACTAGGTTAAAGTACTTAGATTTAATCCCCAGTATCTAAATTATGTTAATAAAAACCTACACATCCATATTTGTCCTTTTCTTCCTTAATGTACAAAGGTCTAACCAAATGCTATTCTTTTAGTCCCAGCATCAGTAGAGACAGAGACAGGATGATCATGACTTTGAAGCCAGCTGGGGGTGGGGGTGGTGGAGGGCATGGTGGTGGTGGTAGTGTCAGCTTAGCTAGATGCCTTAGCAAACTATGAAACAGTTCCCTTTATATCTGCATTTTAAATTTAAGAAAAGAAAAGTTTAGGTCAAGAATATAAACAAGATCGGATGAAAAAAATCAGTATTGCAAATTATGATTTTTTTGCTCAGGAAATATTCTTTCCATGGTAATATTTGTATAGCAGTCACATATATGCCTGCATCATAGAGTAAAACAACAAAACATGAATAAATAGGCATTCCACGTTCTGAATATAGACACAGCAAAATTCATTTTCTCAATGCTGTTGACAGTGTTTTTGGTAGGAAACAAAGTGGGATGACAACAAACAAAAAGTATTATATAAAATTTTAAAACTTCTGCAGAGACATGGAAGGAAATAATAAAGAAATAACCTATAGAACAGGAAAAGTGTTTTCCAGCTACTCCCCAGAGAACTAATGTTTTGAAAAACCGTGCAAGTGAAATGAATACACACTTCTCAGAATAAGTAGAAATGGCCACTAAATACCTGAAAAAGTGTTCAGCATTTTTACCCAATAGAAAAATGCAAATTGCAACAGCATCTTGTACCAGAAAACACACATATCACCAAGAACTCAAAAAAATGTCCATGAGGCTGAAGGGGAAAAAGGAACTATTCAACATCATTGGTGGGAATGTAAACTAGTTCAACCACTACAGAAGTCAGTGCACAAGGTATTCAAAAAATGAAAAATAGTAACTCCATTCAATGTAGTGCTTTCTCTTGTGGATATCGTCCAGAAAGAGTTAAAGACATTATATTTCAGTGGTACATGCATGTTCCTGTTTACAGCAGCAATACTCACTTTTTCTGTTGGGCAGCAGCAGTGAACCCTGCTCTGTCAGCAACCAAATATCAGGGGTAAAGAAGTACTCTTCAGTGTACGGTATTTAAGAAATTATATGTGGTATTTTATTATGAGGTGGGCTCTGTGTTAGATTATTTTTCCTGAGAACAGGCAAATATAAGCATGCTAATGTGCCAAGGGCATAACTATAATGTCCAGTAGATTCAGTATCTCTATTCAATATATTTTATTTCAAATTTTTCAGCTGATCAAATATGTCCACTTTGTATCTCAAGAAATATCTGTAATCAATTCAACTTTGTTGAGGTTGTGATGCACATAACACCAACTTCATTACATTCTCTCCTGGGTTCAATGCTGTGTTAGTGTACTGCAGTGGAACATATGTATATACCTGTATATAAAAGGGTTTTTTTCAACTTTTCTCATGTTATAAAGGAACTTTTAGATTTCCTTGTATAAGGAAACATAGAGGTTGAATACTCCTACAAGGGGTGGCTAAGCACTTAAACCTTGGGGAAGCACTGCCTGACTGAAATGAAGCTAGCAGCTTAAGAACAAGAAGAACCAATAATGCAACCACAGCCTGAGGGGGAAGGCTTTGAAGCCCCATAAGAAACTACTAACAAATGTCTGTGTCCAAAGGCTGAACACTGGAGTCTGATGTTCTTGAATGATGACAGCATCGAATATTATACCTGTTTAAGAAAATTCAAGTGTCCAGAAGCTTCTTTTCCACTTTTTTTGTTCCACCAATGCCCAGTCCCCTTGGATGACACCAATTTTTCTCAATGCATTTGTTTCTCACTGAGATCAATAGCCCACATATCAATTATTTTCTCTAGAGGGACATACACAGACACCCAGAAGTGTGGTTTACCAGGTTTTATGGCATGCCTCCATCAAGTCATGATGATGACATTATTAACAATCCCAAAACAAAATAATTTTAATAAGTTAAAATGTTTATTAATACATGTTTACAGTGTATAATGTTTACATTTGTTGTCAGAAAGTGGCGGATGTATGCAGCACATCTGAACACTTTTTTACTTCTCCTTTCATCCCCATTTCTCCCTTTTCCATCCATTTCTTCATCCTGTTTCCATTTGTAAAATATTTATCTTATTTTCCAATTTCTGATCTTTTATTTTTTCTTATAAAAGTTAAACAGAATACCTCTAATAGTAAACTCAATCATCTATAAACAGCAGCATCCTAAATATGCAAGTGTAGGGGCTGGAGATTTAGCTCAGTGGTTCCCCTGCCTGCCCAGCAAGGACAAGGTCCTGAGATCGATCCCTGGTAACAACAACAACAACAACAACAAAAACCCATTGAACTAAATATGCAAGTGTATAAGGATTTCAGGATCGTTCCCATGTTTGTAAAGTAAATCCACAGACTATAATTCCAAGAAACAGAATCTCAAATGATGGCTGTGAAGCCACATTGTGACCCAGAAATGGAGAGTCACAAGTATGCAACACAAGCACATGATGCACACAAGCATATGAGTTCAATGCATGAAAACTGAAGCATCAGATTCACCTACCAAAAATTTTGGTGCAGGGCTGCCTGAGTTTTGGGGTGCAAGCTTTGCCCCTGTATGTCCAAGTAGTTGGGGTGTGGCAGCAGCTAAGATGATCATAGCCCCTCTTTATCCATATGTTATTTCTGCCAATTTAGCAAGGTCTAATAATATTAAAAATTCCAGAAATCAAAATTGGCAAGGTTCAAATC